GCCCTGCCGAGGGGCGGCGAGGCGGGCGGGGCGCCCCGCGCAGCCCCCCCTGCCGCGGCTGACGTCGGCGCGAGTGCCTCGCTGCTCCCAGCCCGGGCGGACATGCGCGTCGCCTCGCCCCCCGTGACGAGGACGGCGCCCGCTCCGTGGCCGCCGGCCGGGGCGGGGGGCGCTTGCGGATGCCGCAGCCCCGGCGGCCCGGCCGCTGCCCGGGTGTGCCGAGCGGGGCTGTGGCGCCCGGGCCGTGCTGCCTCACTGTCGCTGGCGGCGCATCCCCCGGCCCGCACCGGGAGCTCTTGGGCGCACGGGGCTGCCGTGGCCGTGGCCGGCCGGTGGGCCTGCCAGCCTCGCCTGGTGACCCCTGTGGCAACGGGACGCTGCCTGGGACCCAGCTGCCCAGCACATGGACCAGCCCGGTCCGCATGTCTGACAGATGTGCGTGCTTGACACACAATCAGAAACACACAATCTCTGCTGAGTTTGCTCAGCTGGGCGCTTCAGCAGAGCTGTCCACTTGGCTCTCTTGTTTTAACCTGTTTTTTCTTAACAGATATCTTTTTTTTGGTATGTTGCTTGATTTCCTCCAGAATGGTGCCATTTTTTTTTAACTGTGCTGTGTTTCTCTCCCTCAGTGGCTCACTTCTCGGTGGGGGCAGGTGCCATTCCCAGTCACAGTTTACCGTGTTATTTGAACCCAGGTGCCATGGCTTGTTAGATGGGGAACAACCCTCAAATAAACCACGGACTGCTGTGTCACTGAAACGTTGTTTCTCCTTCAGAGGAGCTGTGCCATCTAGGTTTGCATGACATGACAAGCTGTGCTTGGGTAGGTAAATAGGCATATGGCCCCTCCTTGTCAAGCCATGGTAACCAGGTGAACGAGAGCGCTGCCTGCAACCACCAGTGGCATGAGCAGGGAACCTTTGGGCAGAATTCTGTGGGTGCTGGATGCCGTGTAGGCAGCCATAGGACAGCTTGGAGTCCCAGCTCCCGCCTCAGGAATGCATCCTGGCTGGCACCGTTCTTCCTGCACTTCTTCCTGCAGGTGTAGGTGCAACTTTCATCTTGTCAGGGAGGGGTGCACTGGCGGCGGGGAGGGATGCTGCTGCACCACCTACAAGGAATCCCAGTGATGCTTCAGCAGGGGCAAAGCGCACAGATGCCTGAAACCAGCACCTCGGTCATTTGCAGTGTGGGTGCCCATCATTCTCCAAGTCTGATGTTGCCCTTACTATGTTATCAGCCCAATTTTCTGAAAATCTTTGGAGGCACCAAAACGCACAGCAGTTGTAATGTAGCCTGGTTCTTGCAGTCCTCAGAAAGGCCAGCTAGGTCTTGTGAAATATTTGTAGGCAAGTAGTAAACATCTGTTAAGTCCAACTGCTTTTAGAACTTAGAAATAAACCTGTTTAAGGTGATTTATTTACTGCTTTTTTCCTAACTATTAAAAGCACTTCCTGTTCAAGGCTGTGGTGAGACTGTTTTAGATAGGTGGATATTCCCATATTACAGATGGTGTGTAGGTGAAGCCGAGACCTGCTGGAGTATCTTGGATCCACTTATGATTGAGCTAAGGCTTGGATTGGGAGCTCATGATTTTGAGCCACAAACAGCAGCTTACCACCTAACAGCGCAATCCTATTTACATTCCCTTGAAGGTAAGTCCCACTATGTTCATTGTGGCTTACTAAGTACGGCATGCCAGCTGCATCCTGTGCCTTGAGCCCATGCCCTTGGTGCAAACATCGATCGGCCTAGAATAATTGTCATGGAGAATAATAACCTCAGACCAAAATATACGGCACGGAGGGTAAGCCCTGCTGAAATTGGTGGGATTTACTATCAGGAAATGTGATTAGGTTTAAAGGAGTTAACAACTCTTGTTAGAATGGAGTTAGTTCTTGTACATACTGTTTGACAGTTTGACTAGTTTCTTTTTAAAAGGAATGATGGTGCAATTAAATGATTATGCTCCATAGTGCATAGATATATCCATTTGTCAAGAGCAGAAGAGGAATGCTTTGTGTCAGTAGCAGTAATACCAAAATAATGTATTGTAAATGTTGGCAAGTTCTTTCTATGAAGCAATGCTTAGTTGGGAAATTAGGTGGGGGCAGCAAGAGTATTTGTAAAGAACTTTGCACATTTTTCTGGCAGTAGTTAAAGTCTCAGTGATTCCCCAGATGTGGAATGCTAGGCTGCAAAACAAAAAGGCTCAGCGACTGCTGCAGGAGCGGAGAGGAGCTGAGCAGGTGTATCTGCTGAGAATTTTGGACTGGTGGGGAGATGGGAGTGATATCAAAGGTCTGGTAGGTTTAGAAAGGAGCTGTGGCTTCCTGCTATTTGACAGACAACGATACAAGGGGTTGAAGGCCAAAACTCCTTATTGAATTGGGACCCTCAGAGTGTGATTCACTTCTCAGGATAACAGTAAGACAGGCCCCTGCCCCGAGGGGTCTCCAAGCAGACACAGAAGTGGTCGCAAGGAAGAGAAAGCAAAGACAACAGGAAAGAATATGTTTAATTACATTTAATTACATGTATTTAGGATATTGGTGGCTACTTACAAATTTAGTTTTTAAAAATAGATCAGTGACATTTTTTTGCCAGGAAATGTTTGTTCAGTCTGTGGCATTATCCTTGAGTGATTCCTTTCAAGCTTCTGCTGATAAATATGAACTTCATCAGCAAAACAGAGTCCGTGTCATGGTGACGGTTCTTACATCTCCAACCTGCCTGGTAACATTTTCGAGTCTTCGATTTGTCCACCACATACGGCTTGCTCTTTTATTCTTTGTCCTATCCTTCTAATTATCTGGCCAGGGCAACTTATTTTATATTGTTAATTTGTTTTATATTTTTAATGTATTATATTTTAATTTATGTTGTGAGCCACCCCGAGGCTTCGGCGAATGGGGCAGCATAGAAATGTTTTAAATAAATAAAATAATAAATAACTTGCTCACTGATGGGAAAATCTGGCAAACAGTAACAGGGAGTGAAGATGATAATTGTTAACAGAAAAGTTGTTGAAGAATTTCGGTATCATCTTCAGCACTTTCCTTCCATCCACAATGGAGGTGTTAAATGCCCCTGGGGTCCCCCTGCCCCTCCCCCCACAATAGCAGTACGAATTTTTGGATTCCAGTGGTTAAATCTGTGAGAGAAATTAAATCATTAGACAGATTGTTGTAAATGACCTGTAGCTCCCATATTTTGGATTTGTTTTTTGTTTTTTTTAGAAGGATGTGCCTGACTTGGTTGATCTATGTATTAATGATTTTTTAAAAGCACAGTATTAGTCTACAGTCCTTAACTCTATTCAACTTAACAGTATCCTCCTGAGGTCATTGTCACATGGTTGATGGGGGTATTGGAATAAGTGACAGCCATTATTTTTAATACCCTGTATGGGAGGGAAAAATAATAGGTTGAAAGTTTGTTAAATGGCTAATCATGTAGGGAGTGAGGGTTTCACATTTGCCATCTCTAGTTGCAAGAAGATGCTCGTTCATATTAAGTAAATGCCGGGTTTAAAGCTTGCCTTTGTCTTGTGTCTCAAGTATAGTCAGGCAAAACGTAATGCGCAACAGAGGGCACCAAACAAGGTGAATGGGGCCATTTAATAAAGCTGCTCGTCATGGCAGACCACAGATGCACGCAGGGAAAACTAAGTAGACGCTGAAGAGCTGCTGCTAGTGAGTGAACGGGTTCAGACAACTTGAACATGACAAAGGTTGAGTGCGGGTTGTTGCTGAAGCATGGGTTGGTGTGTTCTTCGAACCCAGCTATGCCAGCAAGCCATGACTTGTTAACCACAAACAACTCATGAAAAGAATGCAGTGATTTTGCTGGCTTGTGAACTGTGGGTCGTTCCCCATGCTTTGTTACCCCAGTTGGGTTCAGACAATACGGTAATCCAGATTTCAGCAAAAAGCCATGGTTCGATGGCAACCTATGCTCAACCCTTGAATGCTGAGTCAGCCTAAGGCAGCTTCCTATGTTCCAGGTAAGCCCTCATCCACTGGACCATTAATGATGTTAAGAATCGGAAAACAAGGTTCTGCCTGGTATATATCGCATCCTGAGGCACGGCAACCAGGTATGGCTTAGATAGCCCAGGATAGCTTTTTGGTGTCTGAAACCTCTAGTTACACAGCCTGATAAAGTTTGTTGCTCAGCAAAATGCTTGTAGTGCTGTAATCCTTAGACTTCAGCAAGAAAAAGTAAAGTTAGCAAGATAGAGGACACTGAATGGAAAGTACACAGGCCAGTTTATCCTATCTGGAAACACATAATATTGGCATTATATACATCTTTAATATAGTTGTATGTCGGCAGTGTGGTACATTTCCCATATAACAGTGTGATTCTATGCATGTTTACTCAGAAGTTAGGCCCATTGAGATCAGTGATAATTATTCCCAAATAATGGTGAATAGGCTTAAAGTGTAAGATGATATCTGTGGAGAAAAGGCAAAGAAGCAGAGGCTTTTCAGTTTAGGAAAAATGCTATTGAAGGGCAGAGTAGAAAACAGAGTTACATATAACCAGTAAGAATGCACAGAGGCAGCATGCTCTCAAAACACATCTGAGAGGAACCACTTCGTTCAGCAACATGTTCAAGACCAAAGAGCACCACAGACAGTTCTTAGAGCATATTCTGCTGTTAGGACTTAGTTGCATCCCTGGATGGGAGGCCATATGTAGAATATTCTAATTTGTTTTATAAGAAATGCCACAAGACGGAGGATAACCAGAGTCCTGGGTGACTTTGAAGAAGAGTTTGGCAAATTTACAGAGAGCAGCCATCATTATTAGCTTTGGCAAACTGGACCAGCCATACACCGTCAAGGGCCATGTTTATACAGAACTGGTAGGCCAGGGGTTTTTTGCCTGCCTTACTGCGAAAGAGTTGTATGAAGCCCATTTGCTCCTGGTTGGTTTCTCCTGATACTGTGACTAGCTAAAAAACCAGCAGTAGTTTGTGTAGTGTGTCATTCAAACTTGGGAATCTGGGTTGTTGCTCTCTTTACAAGCTGGTCTTGACTTGTGAAATCTGACTTGTTTAGGAATTAAAGGCCAGGATTCTAGATTTGGGCAGTATGCTAAACAAACCATTTCTAGTTTGTTCAGCTGGTCTCTATCAGGGCGAGCAAGAGAATGCCATGTACCAACAAGTAGCTTACTCACAATAAGCCAGGATTATCCAAAAGCCTAGTTTCCCATCTGGTGCAAATGGATGCCACCACCGTGCTGTCGCTTGCAGGTCAGATCCCTTTGGGGACAGAATGCTGGCTAGAGCTTTAGGCTTAGCTTAACCAGGCATTTCTTAAATATAAGAAATGCTTTCAAATAAATAAAAAACGCACATGCTTATCCTGGCCCACTTCAGCCTGTGGTTGTGCAAATCATGATTTAGAGATGTAGGAACAAGGTCTTTTTGCATTCCAGCAAGTGACTTTGCTTGAGATTTACTGTTTAGCACAACCATGATTTGTTATTGTATCCAACGCAATACTGAACACCACAAGTTTTGCTGGCTGCAGCTTTTCCCACTCACTGCCATGTCGAAGACTGGTGCTCCGGCGGTGTGACCTTCTTTGTAATGGCCAGTTCATGCCAGAAAAAAATTGTCACTTTTCCCATCATAAGGTTATCCTTTTTTATACTGTCACCTTGAGGTTGATCTTTAAATGCACCCAGGTCTTATAAATAAATGTTATATCTTTGCACAGCATAACCTGAGCTAAGACTCGGCGGTGTCCAAGACAAACTAGCTAAAAAAAGTATGTCTTGCCCAATGAAGAGCCCATTTTAGTCTTTCGCATGAGTCATCTCTGTCGGGCAAAAATACCCTAATGCCATTGCATGATTAAGAGTTGCAGAATTGGAACTTCCACGCCTAAATTTGAGATCCACCCCACTGTTGGTCGCTACGTAATTGTTTGTTTCATGTTGCACGGATTCTTAGAGTGCTCCGAGGAGAACTATAGAAATATTACTTGGCTGTGCGGCACTACTGAACCCAGCCAGTGCCTGCTGCCTCCTCTCATTAAATTGATGATTTATCGGTTCCTTCCTACTGTTGCCTCTCTGGGAAGCGGGTTGTCCTTGAATGTGGATCGTCCCGGGCCCTTTCCCGCAGTTTAGTTCCGCAGTTTATGCAGCAAAATGGATGTAAGAGCATCAGTGTGAGTCTCGGGTTCAAATCTCTGCTCATTCATGAAACTGGCAGTATCATTCCCTTGACAACCACATCAGTTCAAGCGCCCTGACAGGAACTTCTCCTAGCCTCTTCCATATCCTCATTGTGAGGTTTAGCTAGGATAATCCCCATGCACACTAGCCTGAGCTCTGCGGAACAAAGGCAGGGCTTTCATGGTATAACTATCTGAGTTGAGTTGTCGGTCAGTATATTAAACTGAAGGCATGATTATTTGAAAACGCATCTCATGCTGTGCCGGTTGAAGTTCCGGCGCTTGAGCTGATGTGGTTGTCAAGGGAAGGGAGCACAGGATACCTGCCTCTAGGAGCCCTGTTGGTATATCATACAGCTTAGGACATCTTCCAGAGGCTCTGGACTTTGACTGCTAGCATTCCTGACCATTGACTGCAGACGGATTTCTGGGAGGTGAAGGCTGAACATCTGGAGAACCACCTTCTGTCTATTGGCATGAAGGGATGATTAAACATGTGGTACTAATCATATGGTTAACAGAAATGTCGATTAAAAATAAAATTACTGGGCATCCAAGGGAGAAAGGATTGTCATTGGCGCTGTGGCATGTGTGGAGGAGGTATTTTAGTCTTCTCAGCTGCTGTCTTGTAGGGGGTGGGGACCCCCCCACACACACACACACACCACATTAGGAAGGAACAAACCTCCTATTGGTTCCAATGGTAGTTAATTGTTAAACCCCAAACCCGCATTATTGCTAATCATGTCAGCATCACAGGTAGGTAGTCCCCAAGTCTAAGGTTATAGCTTCTACATCACCAATTGCTTTCGACTTGTGCAACTTAAGAAAGGAAAAGTTTCCTTATTGCTGCCTGTGCTGTCACACCTGACAGCACCTGTGGGAACATAGCAGAGTCTGGACTTGGCTCTTGATGGCCTTTGCGAAATTTAGAGCAAAATAATTCTTCTGTTGGACTAGCCGACATGTGTGGCTCAGAGGTCTGTGAAGTAAGAAAGAGCCGTCACCTTTACCTTTCTGTCCGCCAGGAAGGAGTGCTGTAATGCGTGTTTTGGCAGTGTTTCCCCGGTGGCTGAAGACCAACTGAATAATCAGTGTAAACTACACTTTAGTTCTTACCTCCTTGGCTTGGCCCGAGTTGTTGCAAGGAACATCGGGATGTGGAATGTGGCAATGTAACAAAGAGGAGCAGTACTCAGTAAAAGCACACAAAATGGACGGAAATCTATGAGGGCAAGAAATACAAAGTTGTCAGCTATGTTTTAAAACAAGAGAGGCCCCGTAATAAAGGCATTGCGAGACACTCCCGTCCCTTAATAGCAATGCTTCTGTTCAGGCATCTAGCTTGACACGCTGGAAAAGGAGACCCATCCTGTCCCCGCCCCCCACACACACAGGCACACTTTTTGGGGAGGGAGAGGAAGGAGAATGTATACCTTCTTTCCCACCCTCTCATAAAACTTTCTCCCACCACATTTTAGAAAATTAAAGGACTATTGGTTCTGAACCTGAGTACTTCTTTGCAATGCAGAGTGCATGTGAGGAAGAGGGTAGCATGAAAAAGGGGTCCCCTTTCTTATCTGCTGAACTCTTTAAACCTTATAACATGCATTTCCTCAGACCAGGATACTATAAGCTGTTTACAGTTTGCAACATACGAGTCTTGTGGTACCTTAAAGACGAAACAGATTTATAGTGGTATAAACTTCAGCAAGCTGAAATGAACTGCATGTGAAGAAGTTCACTTTAATCTGTGAAATGTATGCCACAATTAAAAAAAACAACAACAAAAACCCCTTCCAGCCAAAATGCTCAGCCCAGTTGGGGCTCTTAAATGCTCTAGTCCACATGGCACTGGGTATTTTTGGTTGTATTTTAAATTCGTAAAAGGGTATTTCTGCATACCCGGGAGACTGTCTGAGCATGCGTAAATCACAACATTCTCTATGGCTGGTCCTGTTTTGCTGCCAGACTAATAGCAAACTTGGTTGCCCGGTGCCTGCTAGAAAGAGCAATGATCAACATCTTTATAAGATTTAAATCCAGCCCTGAATTTTCATTCCATTTTGTTTGTTTTGTACCACAGTTTCAGTGTCTCAAGGGCGAACTGCACCAGCTTTGGGTTTAAACCACAGTGACAGATAAGTGTCTCTGTTGCAGCTGCAGGCAGAGGGTCGGAAAGGGCAAAGGATGCCTCAGTCAGACTGGCGGTAGTCTATTCTTGTAACGCTAATTACTTTAATTCTCCTGTTTGAAGGTATGGGTGATTAGTCTTCCTGAAAACTGACTGAAATCCTGGAGTGTGGGGATGCTAAACATCTTACAGCCCTAGGGCTGAATTTCGTTTTGGAGAAGCTCTCAGAAGGGGAGGAATTCCAGGAGTGGGTGGGACTGAATTAGACAGGGAAAAATAACCCACTATATTTTAGCTTAATGATCTTACTATCTGTAATTTATTTTTAGGAGAGGGTGTTTCAACCCCTTGCTTGGGGAGGGGGCCAGGAAGCAACCAAACAGCAGTGGAGTCAGGGGAAGGAGGTCTGGCTATCCATGGGGCTTTAGGAAGGCCAAATTTGGCCTCCAAGCCCAAGGTTCTCCATTCCAGGAATTACGAATTTTGGCAGGCCACTGGTCCTTCCAGTGTTGGTTGCCAGAACCCAGGTTTGTGCCGTTCCAGAAATACGCATGACTAAAATGTACAGAAGCAAAGATTTTGACACTTGGTTCTTTCGTTGTAGTTTTCATCATGGGGGACATGAAAACTCCAGACTTCGATGACTTGCTGGCTGCATTTGACATTCCTGATCCAACCAGTCTTGATGCCAAGGAAGCCATTCAGACAGCTGGTGAGGAGAACGAAAACCACCTCAAGCCGCCGGGGATTTGTCCCGATGAGAACGCGTCCTTGGCCCATGCGGTGCCAGCTTCTGATGTTCCGGTCGTGAGCGTCATTGTGAAGAACACATGTCGTCAAGAGTCGTTTGAGGCGGAGAAGGAAGGCAACCACGTGGGGCCCGGCCTGTTGCACAATGGATTCCGCGGCTCTGACCTGCCTGTAGAGACTCACAACTATGGAAAGTTTGACTCTGCTTTCATCAACGGTGATGGATTAAGGAATTATCCTGAAAAGTTGGAACAATCGAAGTCAGAGCCTTTACCGACTTTCAGTCAGTTCAGCCCCATCTCCAGCCCAGAACCAGAGGATGCGCTTAAAGAGAACAGTGTTGTAGATAAATCTAAGCAGGCTCAGACTTCCTATTTCCCACCGCATCCAATGTATATTCCATCCGGGTCGTCTGTGCTAGATCTGCTTAGCAGAACCCTGCCGGAACCAGAGTTCAGTCGGTTTATGTCAACAGGGCCGTCACTGCTGGATCTCCTTAGTAAGAAGCTGCCAGAACCAGAGTTGAGTATGTTCGATCAGTACTGTAAAAAAGACCCAAAGATAGATGCGCACGGACTGCAAGAGAGCAGGGTGGACACGAGCAGGAGGGAGCGGGACAAGAGCCCGGAAGCGCGTCAAGCATCCAGCAAGGATGTTGCGGACACAAACAGTTTTCTTGGGGAAGGGGTGCCCCTGGGCAACTTCCACAGCAATAACTTGGCAGAGGGCAAGGGAGCCGTGCCCGAAATGAGCTTTTCGCCCTTGTCCATTCCTCCTCGCCAGCGTATCAAGCCTGCTCACTCCAAGCTCTCGTCTTGCGTCGCTGCGCTCGTGGCCCTTCAGGCCAAAAAAGTTGCAGGTATCTCAAAGGAGGAGCAGGCAAGCGTGATGAAAGAGCCTCCCGGCCCCTTTAAGGATGGCGTTAAGGGAAGCCCCAAGATGCCGAAGTCGCCAAAGAGTCCAAGAAGCCCCCTCGAGATCGTGAGGAAAGCCACCAAGCAGCCTGAGTCTCCACGCAGCGTCTGCAGCGACAGCAGCAGCAAAGGCTCTCCCTCGGTGGCGACCGGCTCTCCCCCAGCTATTCCCAAAGTCAGGATCAAGACAATTAAAACCTCTTCTGGTGAGATCAAAAGAACAGTCACGCGGATCCTGCCAGAAGCAGATGACTTTGGCAGATCGCCGCAAGAATCACCTGCCGAGAACTCGGTAACCGAAGAGTTCGTCAAATCCTTCCCTTCGCCGGAACCCAGCACCGCGGTGGAGACCGACTCGTGCAAGGGCCTCACCCCCGCCCCGGAGGCAAGCCTAGCAAGCCCCCAGGTTGACAGTATCGTTGCGGACTTTCCCGTCAGCGGCATCTCCAGTGCCTCCCTGCTGACCGGCAGCAGTGCTGGGGCAGCCAAAGCAGGGCAGCAGCCCAGCAAGAAGTCGCAGGCCGGGGCGGTGGCCCAGTCCTGCAACCCCGCCAGCCTCCTCCCGAAAGCCGTGCACCTGGCAAACCTCAACCTGGTTCCCCACAGCGTGGCTGCCTCCGTGGCTGCGAAGTCCTCTGTGCAGCGGCGCAGCCAGTCCCAGCTCACGCAGATGTCGGTGCCGCTCGTGCACCAGGTGAAGAAGGCGGCTCCGCTCGTGGTGGAGGCATTCAACAAGGTGCTGCATGGTGCCAATCCTGTGCCGGCCTATAGCCCCAACCTCCACCCGCCCCTCGACAGCAGTATTCGCGTGCCGACCTCCGGGTACTGTTGCCTGGAGTGCGGCGACTCGTTTGCCTTAGAGAAAAGCCTCGCGCAGCATTACAGCAGGAGGAGCGTCCACATCGAGGTCCTGTGCACGCAGTGCTCGGCCACACTGCTCTTCCTCAACAAGTGCAGCCTGCTCAAGCACGCCAGGGATCACAAGAGCAAAGGCTTCATCATGCAGTGTTCGCAGCTGCTCATGAAGCCCATTTCCGTAGACCAGATGTTTTCGCCTTCCCCAACGAGCTCATCGGCCCCTCAGGCAGCACGGCTGCCCCCTCTTCCTCATAAGCCTTGTACTCCGTCAGGACCTGGAAGCTCCGCAAACACCCAGCCCGCTCTGCCCCTGTACACGGACCCACTGCGGCTCATTCGCCATGGACTGAAGTGTTTTGAATGTAATAAGCAGGCACTGGACTACATCGCCCTCGCAGCCCATTATCAGAGAACTTCAGAGGATAATGAGGGTCTGGTAAGTCACTTATAAAGATCCGAGTTACTTTCTGTCGGGCTTACGTAAAAATTGCAGACAGACAGACGAGCACAAACATACATTAAGCCAGGCCTAAGAGGTAAGTTACGGCAATTTTTCTTGTCTTGAGGGTCTGCACAGTATGTAAACTCTAAGCGAAGAGGCAGGCTGAACCTGAAATAGCCAATGACTGTTAGGGTGCCCTTCCCGACATCACCTCAAGGTGGGTGGCATCGCAGTGGCATCAACTCTTTGTCCTTGGGCAATTGTGAAACGTTTTTTTTTCTTCTCCTGATGCTTGTGGATGGCAGTATAGGCTGCTCCAGGCATAATGCCAGTATATATTTTGTGGCTGTGTGAACAAGTCCAGCTTCCCAGCTTGGGCGATTCCTTGCTTCTGCTCCTAGTTAGAAGCACATTTCATCCAAACTAACAAACTCTGATTTGCGCCTGTCCCGAAAACCAGGATCCGATCCTGGCTTCTAGTGCAAGAGCCCGTTACAGTTCACTGGTCTAGAGGAAAATGTGAGAAAAAATGGTTTACCTCAAGCCATTAAGAGAGGAATTGTGCTGTGTGTGTTGTTGCAGGGGTGGGCGAGCAGGGAGAAAGTGTGTGGGCCGCCGGAGTTTATTCACGTGGTGCAAAGCTGTGACTTTCCTTAACAGCAAAATGCAGGCATGCAAAATTTGCACACTGTCAAAACTAAACAAAGTGGCTGGTGCAAAGTGAACAGAACACAATGATGGTGATCTCAGTGCCTCGTCTGTAACAACATTCTAAAACAAGCATCATTCACGGCCAAAGATGCATCGCATTATGTCTTTGTTTCCCCCCAGTCACTGGGGGAGAAAAGGAGAGACTGAGGGAAATTAAAACTCGTTTGTCATCGTCGTCATCATCATCTCCTCCTCCTCTTCCTCCTCCTCCTTTTTACCTGTATTGTCTAGCAGCTTTCTTTATTCAGCAGCATCCAATTCTGGCTAGTGGTCCTTCAAAAGTATGAACTGGACCTGCATTCGAGTTCTTCCCCAATCACATGTAGAGACTCCATATGTGTTGACAGGTCGCTAGAATAACAAGTTTGTTTGGCGACTGGTGAAAAAGACACATGAAGCAGTCTCCTCCTCCAGCAGGAGTCACCTTGTGTCAGGCTGAGAATACAGAGGTTTTCTTCACACTACCCCTGTTGTATCCAGTCCCCTCCTTTCAAGAAGTGAAACTAATCTGCACTGCTACTTTACGAGAACGAGGCAAGGGAGGAGAGAGATAGTGCACTGTGGGCAGGGACAAATGAAGGTTTTGAACACAAAAATGCCGGTGCCTAGACGGACTGTAGCCCTTGGCATCGTTAGTTGGAAGTGAGTTCTACCACACGGTCTTCCGTGGAAGGGAGCTTTATCTGTCGGCGTGCTTTTGAGCGAATGCAGTGAGGACTCTCGAGTTCCGTGTTCAAGCCAACCTTTTGCAGCCACACATTGAAGCTGGAGACCTGCCACAGCCGTGGGGCACGATATCAAGCGCACTTTTCGTCTTGCTTGCCTTGACGCTGCCCCCTCTTTTCCTGCTGTCAGTCAGGCAGTCTCGTAGTTGCTGAAATTCACGAAAGGATCTTTGTAGGAACATCGGGGCGCCTTGCAATGAGTTCACCTGGCTTGGTGCTCGTATTATAGGATGTTTCAACAGCCATCTTTTTGTTGTGGTTGCAGCAAGCCTTTCTTTGCAGATCGATACATCTACAAAGGAAAAAGAGATGAAATGAACATTTCAACAGAAATCTGTCTGCCAAAGTAATTCACCCCACCCCATCCTCTGCAATGTTTTGTTTAGGTTAGTAACCTCATGAAGCATTAGTGGGCTAATAAATAATAACTGCCCACCTATTTTAGCTCCCTTATTTCATTGTATAAGCTGCTTGTTTTGAAAGAATTTGGTATAAATTTGAATTAAAGCCAGTAAACCCAGTCACTTGCTTCAGTGCAGCTGCGTCTGCAACAGGATTTGCGATTAGAAGGTTCTCTTCTCTCTTGCAAGTCAGCTGACTTGCTAGAAGGTGTGCTGTGCTCAGTCTTAAGGACCAAAACAGCTGTGCACCACAACTGTGGAAAAGGCGGCGTGGAGTTCCAGGTGCTCTGCGGCATACTTATCGAAAGGAGCGAGTTTATTTTCTTAAGGTCCCTAGCATTGCTGGTGCATCTGCTGGATGATGCAGTGCTGCCTCGTCAGTATCGGGGACCATTGGCTCGGTTGCTCGAGATGCCTGGAAACGGTTCTCTGCTCCCAGTTCTGCTGTGTTTTGGCTCAGGGGCTTGTTTTGCAATTGCAGTTTCTGTTCTGTGTAACTTTTAAAAGAGGCTCTTACATTGTTTGTCCTCAAATTTGCTTGTTACATTTTTCTCCACCTTTGGGAGATAAATAGCAAAAGCTGAATGCTTAGCCAAGTTTGTAAACAAGAACGGTACCAGTTGTTACCAGCCACACTGTACATCTGGAAAGGCCGTCTCTGGGCCACTTTTGCAGGCTCAGCTTTTCTACAGCAGTGAAGTTTCTGCTGGTGCTTTCAGTCTTTTACTTGTAGTACAGGGGTAATTTGCAGTACCTGTTGTTTACTTTATTTAGATAGGTTTATATACTGCCTGTGCATATAATGCAACAATGAAATATAATGAAATCATCACTGTTTGGCAGTAAAACCCATTAGGTTGCACTGCAGGGAAAACTTGCAGGAAGAGTCGGATGTTAAGCAGGCTATGGAAACGGAAGAAGTCGGCAAAGGACCCTCAGGTCCCATCGTGCCATAGGCCCTTCTCATCTCTCGGTTCCACAGCGAAGCAGCAAAAGCCCTCTCAGGACCACCAGCGTTACCTGCCGGAGGAGTCCCCGCAGGAGTCCCGATGGCAGCATCAGAAGCTGCTTCCAGGGTCAGAAGCAGTATGCCTGTGTCCATCCGTTGGAGGGGGACCTGGGCGGAAGGCGGCTGCGGCTGCTGCTGCCTTCAGGCCCCGCTCTTGGGCTCCCGTGGACAGTTGGTTGGCCACTGTGTGAATGGGGGGCTGACCTCGTTGGCCCTCCATCTGACCCTGCGCGGCTCTTCTTACTTAGTACACAGGACATCTTTAGGCTTCATAGGCCTCAGAGCAAACCATCCTTGTGGGTCTCCCACCCATTATACTTAAAAGCCACTGCCTTGCGTACGCTGACCTTCCACGCAATCAGTGAAATGTGGAGAGTAGCGCTGAGGCCTCCAGCTGAAGGCAAAGTATTTTGAAGTCACCTCTGTGCTTCTGCTCGTGTGCATGTGCGCTTGGCCGGCCCCTCCCTCCCTCCCTCCCTCTCACATACACACACACACACACTTTGTTCTTCAGATTCTCCATACATTGGAACTGAACATCCCCATGAAAGAAGCCCTGTCATGGGAACAGATCAGTTCTGGCTCCCCACTCGACTCGCTGCCTGTGTGTTGCACTGAGGTTTTCTCCGTCGTCATCTTAATATTTGGTTGTGTTAGTGAGGGTGCTTAGATATATTTATAATCACTTCATTCCCTCCCTTGATGGGAGGGAATTGGGAGCATTGGGAAAGAGTTCATCTGGACAGTGCTGGCTTGCGGCAGTCGGCAGAGTGACTAGCATGAAGCGGTTAAATCAGTCAACAGGTAGTTGCTGCTGCACACGGGTGCGACAGCTGCGGCACCCTCGCAACTCTGAAAGGGGCCTGCCTGCTCTGCCCCTGGCCCTCCGGGACACCCCCTCTTGTGGCTGCTGTGTCACTAATGCCTCACCCAAGAAGCCGCCAATATCATAATGTGCCACTTTGGACTCTTAAAAACACACTCGCACACGCACACAACGCTTCCTTTGCTATTTATGGATTGGCTGCTTGCCAGCCGATGAAGTGAGATCAGAAAGGGTCAGAAATGGCCAGACCTCCTCTGATCGTGCTTTTTAATATGCCTGTGAACTATTTCTCTTGTGGGCAGAAGGAACACGCCTAGTTATTTAGCCACGGTTAAGAGAGAGAGCGCTATTCGCAGGCTTGTGCCTGTTCTCCATGTGTCTGGCACAAATCTCCTCTCCTCTCCCCTCCCTGAGAGCTTTAATCATAGTTAAGGCTTCTGCTGGCACCAGCTTTAAATGTTGTTAATGTTTGCTGTACTTTACTGTTAACCAGGATTTGAAACTGGTTTCAAAAGCTTAGCCAACAGAATCTAATTATACTCTGACTGCGGATATAACTCCTGAACAGAGAGCGGAGGGGTGGGGAAGCTGTGCTGGCTCTGGGGAGCCGCAGGCGAAGAGCCGAGCGGTGTTCTTCAGTCCAGGAACCGGGAGCATCCTGTGTGTGGCAGCACTGAAGTGCTGGAAGGCACTTGGGGGGTGGAGCCCTGCTGCAGTGCCCCCCTCCAGGTCGGGCCAAGAGGACGCCCTGCCTGCAACGGGGAACCCGCTGCTGGGCAGGCGGACGTCTGACCTGGCCTCACGCGTCTGCCTCTGTGCCGCTTTGGAGGGAGGAGGAGGCGCTCGGGTGCTGCGTCCCAGCCACTCCTTTTTCTGAGCATTTCATTTCAGCAAACATTTTGGGGAAATCGTTCTGGTCGGAGGCAAAACTAGTGGCTTTAATCAGTTTCCTGTTCAGGACAGTTTGGCTGTGCTGCTTGTGAGGCTGCAGAGATGTTCCCCTGCATTTCTAGGGGCCTAAGGAGGGTTTTAGAAAACGAGTGAACTTGTATGTCAGGCTAGCAGGTGTTTTGTTTTGTTTTGCTTTGTTTTAAACTTATGTCGATGAACCAGCAGACCACACACATAAATAAAGCTTTGAACATAGCTTACAGTTACGAGTGTGGCTTTAGTGGCGTTAGTTGACTTCAAGAGCGGTCTGGCCTACAGAAGTGCATAACTACGGCCACGGTGATGATTCGTGGCTTGCAACGAGAATGTTGACCAAGCGGTACCTGCTGAGGCCGATTTAAGTGTAGCTGCCCAGTGGTCGGTGCCAAGGTGCCAACTTTTACATGCGCTGCCTTTGTATTATGTTTAAGGAGAGATCTGCCATCATTCCGTACAACTGCACTTCTTGGGATGGCTGAATATGAGAGAGGATCCACCCTGAAAGTGAGACACTGAGCAGAGCTGGTGTGTTTGGCAGCTGTTTCCTACGTCCTGCTTGGAGAGTTAAGTTAGTGCAGATGCTGAGAGAAACCTAACCCGGATCCTTGTCCAAGCAAATTCCCACAGCACAGGACAGCACTCATACTTTCTTTGATTAGGCTATGAGGAAGGGGAAGAGCTTTGCAGAAATTATTAAATTTGAATAAAGTGTGCGTGCAGGGAGGCGTCACTGAGCTCTGAGCTATCGGGAGTGTAAATCTTCTAAAAGCAGGAATAGTGAAAATCCAGTTGTACTTCACGTGGCTGTGCTGAAATTATTTACGGCACTCAAGGAAGGCTTCAGTCATACCTGTGGATCCTTCTGAACAGAATCTCTGAGCCGACGGAGTTGCCTGTGTGGGTGTGTCTGTGTGCATTTCTGGAAGCCACCTTCTTACGGACTTGGTCATGAGTCTGGAGACTTTTCCTCGCCACTGTTGCCAAGTAGCATAAGTAAGGGGAGCCACGTGGAAGAGTTGTCCCCGCTGGAGCTTGGCTGGGAGCTGTCAGTTCCCTCCTGCTACTCAACGCACCTGTAGTGAGCAAAGAAACAGGAGACAAGTGATGCTAGTTCTGGATGGACCACATATAATGCTGTCTTGTATGACACATGCGGGTGTGTTTATCTTGTCATGCAGACACAATTACGGGAAGCATCATTCCACCACAGTGTACATTATGTGGCAAAACAAAATTACGTTCTTAGTGTTTGCGTATAAGAGAACTGCTTGGATAATGCATGCCCGTGTTCCTATGCACCTCTGTGGGAGAGGTGCGTGGAAACACCACTTCTCTCTGAAGGAGCCCTTCTGACTGGCAGCAGCTCTTCAGGGTTTCAGGCAGGGGTTCTTTTACTCCTAACTGGTGATGCTGGAGATTGAACCCGAGACTTTCTGCCCGTAAGGCGTGAGAGCTTTGCCACCGAACTGCTGGCCCCTTGTCATCTGGCATGCACAGAGTATTTGAAGAGAGGCAGGGAAATGTCAGAGAGCATTTGGTGCAATGAGTCCCTGGCTTTAGTCAAAACAAAGAAAGCTCTTACAGCATTTCTGCAATAACGAGGAAGCTCAAGAACTTTTGGTTTATCCAGGAGGGTTGCCAGTGAGTAATGCTCCCACACGTCGTTCTGGAGACTGTCTCACCGCTAGATGGTTCTTTAAGGAAAAGAATGCAGCTCGAATCTTACTCTGTCTTTCTCACCGGCAAAGGGTTTAGCTAAATTATGAAAAAAACAACAGTGTAACCGAACTTTCAGCAGTTTCCCAGATCTGACTGGCAAACAGAAGGGCATTCAGAATATTGCACGGTGCTAAAAACTTTCAAGCAAAGACTTTAGAGAACACAAATCGAGGACAATTTCAAAATCCAGTCTGGCAGGCTGAGGGAGGCTGGGCTAACCCAGGTCTATCTGTGAAATTCCCCCTGCACTGGGGAGCCTCTGCATGGTCCCCACCCTTTCTTGTTCTCCCCCTTCACTGCCTCCCCGGATTTATCGTCTGATGAAGAACACGCCCGCTTTCACTTGGCCCTAATAAAGGCATTGCCTTGCTGTCAGTTTTGGATTATCGCTTTTCCTAGTGGACCAGCGTGGTGGCCGAGGCACGTTGTGGGTCAAATAAAGGGAGCAGGGGAATTTTCATCCTTTGCAGTTTCTGAAGACGTGTATCAGCCCAGCGTCTTTGCTGCCATGGGACCATGCTAGGATCCCAGCATACTTGACCCACAGGCCATAGCACAGTGTTAGCGGCATGAGCCTGTTAAACACAAACTGACACGCTGTTGCGTTTGTCCTGCAAATCAAGAAAAGAGGTAAAAGATCGTGGCATGTGAGGAGAGAAGGGATTCTTGGGTTAGAGGAGCCGGGTAGTGTTGTGCTGTAGTTTGACTTCACGTCTTGGTGAGCACACTGGCATTTTCAGTTTCAAAAATGATTCTGAACAGCCTGAAAATGTATTATTCACCAAAATGTTAACATGCAAATTTTGATTACCCGAGAGATTAATTTTTGGCTGTACAGATAAGAATGCAATTTCAATAGAAAGCACTAATCCCGATATCTACGAGATGACAGAATGCCTTTTAGTTTTGCTGCAGTTATATCCTGGTTTCTAATCTTAAATAAACTAAAATCAATTATTGATTAAATGGCAAACTACTGCAATGAGATGTCTTCCGGGGTGAGATAGGCAAAGTTAAAGATTATGGATGTGAGTCTGTTTATTCAAGCAGTGTTATAGGAGGAGAGGCTGCATACGCAGAACATTTGCTGGAGGAAGGGAAGCTTCCCTCTAGGCATTTGAGGATTCATCCAACCCTGGCTGCTGAACTTGCACGATGGTTTCGTTTTAAACACAAGCCTCCAAGTGCAAAGTACGGTTCTGCTTAATTCCCCCTTACAGGATTCCTGTTTCCCCTTTCAGAAGCTCTGGAGACCATTTTAATTCACTGGGTAAAAAACTCTGGGCCAGCCACAGACCCTCGGCCCAGCTTACCCTTGGGGTTATTGATCTGAGGATAAGACTGAGAGGAGGAGGAGAATTATGTAAGCCAGCTTGAGTTCCTTGGAAAGGAAAAAGATGGGGAATAAATATAATGAATGAGTAAAATAATTCAGCATCATTCTAAGCATCCTTCAACTGTTCTCCTTTTATGCCTTCGAACAGACAAGTCAAGACCTGGATCAGTGCATAGTAAACCATAAATTTTGATGATCAATAGAAGACAAGTTTATCAACAATAGTTTGCCATGATAGCTAAATAGATCTGGATTAATAGGCAACATGTCACCAAATACCTTTTGCTGGAGATCAAGCAGCAAGGAAGAGCTATTGTCTTCATACCTGGATATCAGTAAATACATACAGTCTATTTTTTAAATGCTCAGAAACACTTGAAATTTTTAAAATGTTTGAGTATCACCACTGCATTCTCTCAAGGCAAGCAGTATTGTACTGGCATTCTACTGCTTGCTCTTTGTTAAGCAATATGCACGTTTTTTTCCTTCTAATATTTGTGAACTGCGTTATAGACTGGCCCATTAACAATACCAAGAGATGGTTTTGCAGCTACACGAACAAGCCCGGCTGCTTCACGTTTCCTGTGTTCGGGCAACACGATGCCTTTCCTAGTCAGAGGCACATTTCATCCAGACTGGTTTGTGTCTGCCTTGAAAATCGGGATTCAGTCCTGATTTCTAGTGGCCTGACTTTGCTGTGACCTGCAGAGGTAGGAAAGACAACCTTCAGGCACCGGTTGGTCTTGGGGTGGAAGAAGAAGTGGGATACTGCATAGAGCTGCCTTGTAAGTGGAGGAGCTGCCCTTGCGTCTGTGCTGTTTGATGTTTCTAAGGCTGCAGCTAAGGAGGGCAAGGGACAGAGAGCGGAAGGCGCTCGTATTGTCTCAGCAGCCTGTCAACAGAGGGAGCCCAGTGGGTTTGCTGCTTTGAGAAGGGGTGAGTTATGCTTCATCCTATGGGAAGTTCCTTCCTCTGCAGCCCCGTGAGGGAAGATGGAGAGCCCTGTCTTGAAGGGGCTAGCTTTGGGTCCCACCACGCTGTCCTGGGCACACAGTCCTTGTAAGGTGAAGAAGATCACCCCTTAAGAGGCCAGGGAGAGCCCCACGAGAGATGCTCAGTCAGTCTGCACTGCTGGCCCTGGCACACTCCTGATGTGAATGGGGGTGGAGATGCTTTCTAGATGCAAAATAAAAGAGGGGCTGGACGGGAGCTTCTGTCGTGTCCCCCTTCAAGAGTAATGCCACCGTTTTGTTCCTGCCCAAGGGCGAGCTGATCCTCTCTCGCCACCCACAGTTCTGAGTCGGGTGCTTTGATAGCGACTGCCATGTGGGTGCCAAGAGTGTCACTGTGTTTGGCTTTTGGGCACCATGAGCTGTGTCACCGGCAGTGGTGAACATCTCCGGTAAAGATCTCAGGAGGCACGGAAATCTCTTGCCCAGATATCAGAACTCATAGCGTCAGATCGGCTTGGAACAAAGAGCATCACCTGTCCCAGCTTCTTCCTCGGCCGTCTTTCTAGTAGTAAGAGAGAGTTTTTCTAGCAAGAACTGGCTGCTTAGCACTGATACAATGCAAGCGGAGTCTGGGCGCTGGGCAGAACCCAAAAGTGACATGGAGCACGTGGGAATCCATAGCAGACAAGACTGGAGCAAAGGGAGCATACAGGAGGGAGAAAGAGCAGGAGGTATTTTGACAGCAGGAAGTGCAGAAAAGATGCGGGCTGAATGGTGGGCGAGATGCGCGGAAGAGCTGGCGAGATGGGGGCTAACCGTGTCTGCTGCCTTCTCCCCGTAGACGTGCCAGGTGTGCCAGATGCTGCTGCCTAACAGATGCAGTTACTGCGCTCATCAGCGGATCCACGCGCACAAATCCCCGTATTGCTGCCCAGAGTGCGGCGCTATTTGCCGGTCAGCCTATTTCCAAACCCACGTCAAAGAGAATTGCCTGCATTACTCACGCAAAGTTGGCTACAGGTTTGTACTCAGTACGGGGAACGGGAGATGCGTCGTGACATTTCATGCGTGCTCAGAGGGCAGCGGAGCGGAGGTGTAGGGGATGAGATCCAGATCTTTCGTTATTGAGTTATTCTTCTGCAGCGACTTTGCCATAGGCTTATTTGTGACCAGGCAAACGATGATTTTAAAATGTCAAACGCCAATAAGGTACATTGGTGTTGTTTTTCCCCACTGCTCTGCCTTCAGGAAGACCATGTTTTATAGGCACTTTGGACATAGCATAAAAGACTTGAAGTTTCCAAAGTGGAAAGGAAGTAGGTTAAGACGGGCAGTCATCGCAAATCTTTAGATGGGTTCCCACAACCCCTCTTAAAGGATATATCGCTAGGTGATGATGATGGACCGATTCTGAAATGACTGTCTTCCTTCACAAAGTAATACCCAGTGAGGCCAACCAGACTGGTCCCAGAACTGGTATTTCTGTGGCTTAACTTAAGAGAGAGAAAAGTGAAAACCGACTCTCTGAAGAACAGCTGAAAGCAAAAGTAATGTAAATTCTTTTCTCATAGTTGATTGACTAGTTCAAGAGTAGGAAATGCGTGGTCCACATGCAACTTCAGCTGTGCCCCATTGGGCCTCCCCATTGTACTTCAGCTGCAGCTGCAAATCTGGCCCTCAAATTTGCGAACAAATTCATAGTCTCAAGGAACTGAGCTTCTCTTTTTCTGGCTCAGAACTCAGCTAGAATAGGAGAGGCAAGATGACTTTGTTTGAGCGAGCTCCTTATTTGGCCCATGATGCCACAGAATAGCTGAAGAGGGGAAGCAACTGAGTCCTGAGGCTCAGGCTGAGAATAGTTGGTTGCTCTTTTAATGTAAATGGGCAAAAATGCATTTAACTAATCTCGGATCCATTGTTGACCCTAGAAGCACTTTTGGGGTAGAATTACCGATTTCTTGAGTCGTTTTAAAATTGCTTTTGCTATTGCTTTCCTAAAGTGAAAATCTGCTAAAATGGATTTGGGCAGTGTTCATTCTATTCCCCCAGAAAGAGAACCTAAACAATGGTTATACTCTCAGGTTTAGAAGCACCATAATTATTCACCAGGTGAATTATTTTTAAGAATGCATGCATGATGCCATATTTTCTCTTTGTTCGTTTTTTGTAAATCCGAGCAGAGATAAGTTGGTGGAAGAGGAACCAGTGACTGGACTTGTTATTCGTAATATCAAGTCCAGACTAGCTGGAGGCGGTTGGGAACGGCAGCAAGCAAAGCAGGGGAGGGAAAACAGGCCGGTGCTTCGTGCTCGGGCCTCGCGGTCTCGTGTTGCCTGCTGTGGCTGCCAGCTGCTCTCCGAGGCCTCAAGCGCAAAAACGCTTCTCCTGCCTCCGCTGCAGATGACCCTCGACGCCGAAGGAGCTGTGCATGAATCGGGAAGGGAGAGAGTGGCGATCCCTTAGGTCCCGCCCCCGCCTTCCCGGCAGATGCTTGTCTCCCTCCCCTGTCCAGCGTCTTTATGCATCACCATTTTTCCTGATTGCTTGATTGGTGATGCACTTGCTTGATTTAAGGCCCCCCGCCCGGGCACCCCTTCCCAGTGTAGCACAGCTCCAGACCAGTAACTTTTCACCTGAGCTGCTTAAGAGCTGCTGGCCCCCCGGAGTTACTGTGTCGGACCGGATCTGGTTTTCCCATTGCCTGTCAGCAGGGGTGGCAGTATCTCAGCATCAGAGCTCTGGTCCGTGCTGCTTTCTCACACTGAGCAGATCAGCGCAACGCACACACGTCGCTCCATATGCAGCCCCCACGGCTGGGCTTGCTTGCTGCTCCTCTAGGCCTTTAGCAAAGAACCAGGGAGTCGCACCCGCACCAGGCCCCCTCCCAGTGTCTCTGTGGAGGTCTCGGATACGTGCGAGAGAGCAGCACAGCTGCAGGGCTCGCTCAGTGCTTCCTCGTGCTTTCCAGGTGCACTCACTGTGGGGTTGTCTTCATGTCACAAGCTATGCTGAAAGTGCACATCCATGAGAAACACTGTGAAGTCTTCCACAAGTGTTCATTCTGTCCTATGGCCTTCAAGTCTGCAGACAGCACCACGGCTCACATCACTAGCCAGCACCCTTCGGAGCCTCACAAGACATCTCAGTAAGTAGCTGTCGAGGTGAATAACCGTCATACTTCTGCTGTTTCCCTTCCTTTCCCGGTGTGTCTTCTACACCGGCTTCCCTGCCCAGGTCCCCATGTTTGCAGCAGCCTCTGCGCCCTTTCTCAGTATGGGGAAAAATAATGACGTTTCTATATTGACGCCTGTCTTGTAAAAAAATTCGTAATAAGAACTGCACAGTTAGGAACAGGCTAGAAGAGCCGGAGAGCGGTCGTCACTGGTGCCTTCCACCTGTGCCCCCGACTGTGCCGCGTTGCCCTACTTGGCACCCTCACAAACCTTTTGCAGTTCCTTATATGCTAGCAGGGTGGTGACGGAAGCATCAGGCAGCGCTTTGGGCCAGAGGGTAAATATTTTAGAATCAAATTAGAACTCTTTGGATATTTCCAAGAGGAGGTGCCCTTTACTTGAACCATCTCTGCAAAGCCACAGTTGCTTTACGACTGAGTGAGTCTCATGGCATACTTTGAAAATGCTCGCCGCTCCTGCCCCATCCCGCGCCTCAGAGGCATGTTTTGCCTGTCTGTGCTGGCAGGCTGCTGCTCAGCGGCACTGATTCCCCAGGCACTCTGTGGTGGAGGTGGCTTTCCTTCTTGTGTGTGTTTTGAACGTGTAAAACCTCATTGTCAGAAGGATGCTTAACTTGTTCCAGGGTGATCTACAAATGCTCTTGTGAGACGGTTTTTAACAAGAAGAGGCTTCTGCAGGAGCACTTCCAGCAAAATGCCAACAGGCTGATGGTGGGAGTGTTCAAGTGTCCGCATTGTCAGCTGGTGTATATGCAGAAACTGCAGTTAATGCAGCACGTCAAGGTTAGTGACCGAGGACCGTTCCCTGCCCACACAGGGCCACCCCCGCCTTCCACAGTTCAGACTTGCACGCATGGGCCACGCTGGGTGCTTTGCTGGTGCCCACCGTCGATGGATATCCTCACAAGCAGCCTTAAGCATGGGAAACGCTCTTCCCAGGAATGTCTCGCTCTAGGAGGGCAGTGGTGAAAATGGCCAGCTAGGCCCGGGAGTGACCATAGTATGCATGAATATGCCCACTGCAGTGGCTGCAGGTCCATTGCCCGGCCCAGTTAAGAGTGCTGGCTTTGACTTGCAAAGCCTTTCGTAGCTCAGAAGCCGGGGGCTGCAGAGGACGGGCTGCAGAGGACAGCCTGCCTCCACGTGTACCTAATTGTGCGTCTCCGAAGGGTTCAGCCTCTCCCAACTGAGATGGCGTGGGTTTCCTTTCGAGGAGGCCCTTGCCAGCGGTGGCTGTCCAAGCTCTGCAGCTCTCCGGAGAACCTGATCTGATGCTTCCTTGATTGTCTTCTTGGTGCTGCGCAAAATGGTTTTCTCCTGAGTCCCCACTGTATAAAACAAAAGCAGGCAGCTGGGCAGTGGAAAAATGAACTTCCTTCAGAGTAATTCCCAGCTGTTGTAAAGAAAGTCTGGGCAATGTCTCTTCAATCTGTTGTTTGACCTGGAATGTGCTCGCTCTGATAGCTGACACTCGGTTGTTTGGCTTTCTTTCTCAGAGCGTCCATGGGGTCCCTGAAAATCCCGAGGATCTCACTAGCACCCGACAAAAGGCGGAGGCAGCGACTAGCAGCAGTGTTCCCCCCACATCGAAGGAGTTGTCAGTAATTAATGGTACTTCCCAGAGCTCTTTGTCCACAAAAGACATGAGCCCAGAGTCGAAGCCCAGGCCCAAACCCTGCACCTGGACTTGTCGGGAGTGTTCCCAGTGGATCCCTGACCGAGAAACGTATGTGTCCCACATGAAGAAAAGCCATGGAAAGGTGAGAGCCTGCGTGGAACTCGGGAGCTGCTTCTTCCCGTCCCCCACAAACTTCCTTGAGCGTGCTAGCCGTCCTGCAGCAGCGCAAAGGCACGGGCGGGACAGGCTCCTCTCCAGCCAGCTGCAGCCGTGAGGGAGCCTGTGAGAGAACCAGAGAAACACGCATGACAGTATCGTTCTGCCTTTTTCTTGCAATATGGTTCAGCTTTGTAAGCCCATCGTGTTTGGAATCTGAGAGATTACAAATGCACAAGCTGTCTGGATTCCTTTCCCAACTGCCTCATATGGAGGATTGGTAGTGTTCCCATTGTACAGATGGGGAACAGTGAGGCTGTTTGACTGTGTGGCAAGCAGGTGAGCTAATGGTTGAGGAGGGCTCCATTTGAGGTGAAGCAGACATCTTTGCAGTCTTCCTGTCTTACCTCCCAAGGGGAGCACCAAAACGGTATTATTTCAAGAGGAGTCGGGTCGCGTGTCCGCCCCCGGGAAATCCACACCCGAAAGCCACAATTAGCTGAGACTTTTAGTTGTGTTTGTGCCACATTTCCAAAGGTGTGCCTGATCCACCTGAGACTTGCGGCAGGTAAACTGAAAGAGCATCTTTTTCACATTGGCAGTACCTGAACCCGCATTGTGTGGACCCATTCCTGCTAGCACTCCCTGGGTGGCTCTGGTGTGGAAAAGAAAATGAAATCCAGAGGCAGTTTGCTGTTGCTGTCAGAGTGAATGCTCCTGTTTCTTTCTCAGAATGTAAAAAGGTTCCCCTGCCGGCAGTGCGAGCGGTCTTTCAATGCCTCCAATAGCCTGCGCAAACATACTCGCAACAATCACGACACAGCAAAGAAAGTTTACACCTGCTGGTGAGTGCGCGTCTCTAAAAACGGGTTGTGGCTCTTCCGAGCTGCACAGCGCCATGCAGCGGTCAGCTCTGCTCCTGCCTGTTCTGTGACAGCGATTAGTGCGAGGGATCACGTGCTAGGATGGATCTTCTGGTTCCCCAGCTAAATTCCACAATAGGTGGGATGTGGCATGGCAGGCATTCATAGTGGAAGCACAAGGCTGAAGCTACGCAACTGGACACCGGCTGGTTCAGTGTCTGCAGACTTCGTTCAGAGGCTGGGGGGAACGTCCGCGTGGTTCCGAGTCTGATTTCCAAGCCCCTTTTCAGGGGATCGGTGCAGACCTCTGGCGGACGTGCTCTGTCCCTTCCCAGCAGCCTGCTAGAGAAGGAGGAAGTGGGGGGAGTGCAAAGGTAGGAAGAGGAAAAATCTATCCAGACTCCCTGCAAGGTGGGCAGGAGCTGGATAACTGGCACGCAGCCCCCAGCAAGAGGTCAGGAGGAGCCGAATGAGCAGTTGCTCGTCCACAGGATCTCTGGGCAGGCATCCCAGGGACTCACGGTCCCTGGCCCCTCCCCGCTGCCCCATGAAAGCCCAACCCCCTCCAGCTCCCCATGAGACCGGCCCCGAGCCTGAGGCGACGAAAGTCAGCACTGACTGAACCAGAGGGGGCTGCACCAAACATGGGGTCCTTCTAGAAAGTTTATTTCAAGCTTCCAGTTTAACGGGCTTCCTCTGCTCTTGGAAGGAAATCTTTATTGGCCACAGCACAAAGGTCTGCAAGCGGTGATTCTCGAGATGGGGAGATGTTAAGGCCTGTCTCCCGTGATTGGAACTCTGTTTCCAAGAATGTTGGATACGCTTCTAAGAAGCAACTGGCCTATGAGAGAAGAAATGTTTTAGTAGTCTTTAAAAGCAGTGACAGGCTCCCTAGAGCCTGCGGTGGCGGCTTTGGTCTTGCGGCTTCATCCACACTTCCGTGGCTCTTCCTTTCCTATGCCCTGTTAGGTTGTGCGCAGCCATGCGCAGATTCAGCAGGGCATTTTCTGAAAGCACGCGCATCGCAGCCGGGGCACCCTCGTAGTCTTTTGCCCAGGGCTGGACTGAGGACAAGCCCCCCACCCACACACACACACACACACCCCTTGCTTGAGGCCAAGTGGCATTTCTGTGGCACTGATGAGCCAGGCCTGGTCAGTCATGAACGTCTCCCTCCCGCAACACCTGCCGTAGGCCTGATCCTGCGGCGCCGATTGGCTAGTCCTTGTGTTAATCAGGAAGCCACCCTCTCATCATGCAAAAGCTGGTTTCAGTGCACAAGATAAACATGGATAGAAATGTGTTTTGTTTTGTTTTTTGAAGTGCCAGACAAGCCTGCAATTGTATAGCCATGCCCAGGCTCTCGGAACAGAAAGAAAAACAATTTGAAAAGCCCATTTGAAACAATGGGGTTCTTCCCTGCCGTGTGTGGATAGAATTATAATATGCAAGTCAGAGGGGTCTTACAATTGTTATTCACTGTCCAGAAAATAGTTAAATTGATTACTGTGGAGCAGTCTTCAAAGACTTGGCTATTTGAGCAAGAATGGGATCTTAAATAGTCACATGGGTTGTTGTTTTAAAGTAAAGAAAAAAGAATTCTCATCTCCTCTTTTTAGAGAAAGTTCAGACTTCAGCTAAAGAGGCAGACTAATTCTGAGGAAAATGCGGTTTTCATTCTTGCACGTAGTCAGCATAAGGCAGATGGTGATTCAGTGTTAAAAGTTTTTAACTCCTACACTTTACGGGCTCCTGAATTCCTGAATTATTTGGTAACAAACCTGACGTTGCAATTCACATGAGAGCCCAGGCAAATCAGCTCCTCTCCCTGTGATTATCCACATGGCTTGCAGCAAAGGTTCAGACCATAAATGAACAGTGTATGGTGTGAATATTTAAGTCATGATTTCTCTCTTCATATTGTATCAGCTGTTTGATAGACAAAAATATATCTGAAATTCTTCTTTCAAATGCAGTGTTTTATAGGCTATCTTAATTTGTTTTCTTTGCTTCACAGTGGGTTTTTGCATTTTTAAAAAATTATTATTATTACATTACATTTCTGTGTTGCCCAGAGCCAAAGCTCTCGGGACACTTCTCGACATTTAGTCTCCCATCCAGGTTTCAACCAGGCCCAGCCCTGCTTAGCTTCCAAGATCAGGCATTTCAGGCTATGTGCTCCACATGGTAAATTACGAGTTAATAGATATTTATTTTCATTTGTAACTGTGCCACATTGGTATTGAAGGTGACTTGTTTATTTTAAAGGATAGTGTCTTTTCTAATAAATAAAAGAATTCCTATAATACGTAAAACACAAAATATAGCCTTTATTAATAATAGAGAGGTTGAAATGCTGTATTCAAGGCACAGTGAATCGAAATGGTGGTTTAGTAATACTCTGCTGGCATTTACATACAGATAATACTACACCGCAGTAGCATGTGGCATTTTCCAAAGTTGCTTGGGCACAGAGGCAGGTCCCTTCCCCAAGGAACTGACAGATAGAACCTCTTAGTGGGGAAGGTCACAGGAAGAGCCCAGAGAAAGGAAGGGGTGGTAACAGAGGGCGAGGGTGGAGCTCCGGCTGCCGTTCAGATTTTCCTCTCGCTTTGTGTACTTTTTAGGTACTGCACAGATGACGTCCAGACCTTTCCTCAGCCTTCCATGCTGGAGAGTCACATCAGCCTCATGCACGGCATCAAAAACCCCGACCTATCCCAAATACCCAAAGCCAAAGCACCAGCAGAGGACTCGGCAAAAGTAATGCGCGGCGCTGTACGTCGCACGGGGAGGGCGGGTGGTGGGTGGCTGGCCACCCCGTCCAGGCACTGTCCTCGCGTCGCATGTGGAACTCTCCTCCTGCTTTGCTTTCCCAGAAGGGCTAGACTGCTCTGCAGGCATGCACACAAAGCTGCCTCTCTTGAGCCCTGGAGGAGTTGCCGGGCCGCCTACTAAACGACGTGTTCCTTGTTTTGTAGTAAAAGTTCCGTTTGCAGGTCCCCTGTGCATACGGCCGCTGTAAATTAACTCTGCTCGCGTAATCCCTTATTTACGTGCAGCAAGGCCTATAATCAGAATGAGGACTTGAGGCTCGAAGCTCCATCCCAGCCCCTTTGGAATAGCCTTGTAATTTGAACACGCCTGTTGTTTGAGAGGTGATTCCACTTGGCAGTTGCCAGTATGAGTTTCCTAATTAAATCCTAGGCTCAGGCACAAGAGAGCGCTGAAGAGGCCCAGGTAATTTTGCCAGCAGAGTCAAAAAAGTTATTTTGCCCCCAACGTAGCCCTGCTCAAAATAAATCCTACAGTTCCCGGCACGACTGGTTGGGGATTGCTGGGAATTGTGGGATTTTCCCTGCCTGCGCAAGAGTCGATGGGAAATTGAGCACCCTTTCCTAGCAGCTTGCAGTGTTCTTCTGACAAAGTATCTGAGGCAGTGAGTTTACTAGACATGTAGCCATTTCCGGGATGCTGCCTTTTTTTTTTTTACTATGGGCATGGATCCGATTTGGGGAGGGAAATACAGGTCAGTTCAGAGGAAGATCTCTATGCAAGTTGCAGTGCAGTCCAGTTTTTATGCACTTAGACCTTCCGGTGATGTGATTGAACAGACGTAGGGACAAGTTGGTAAACCAAACCAGCAAGGGAAACGGTTCCTTCATCTCTGATCTCTGGAGAGATACGGGGAGGGAACCCTAGATGTTTGGCCGAGTACCCCTGCACTATGGGGTTCTCTCTTTGTGGGAACGGTGCTACCGTGGCCGACTGCTAGAGCAAGCGCTTACACTGCCGATCGGCACAGTGAGGTAATGTGTTTGCTTCACAGGCAAAATCTCCAAAGAGGGTCTCTGCAGGGGGCTTGGACCAGAGGGAAGCCACCACGTCGGGCTGTGAAGATCCACCAGCAAAAAGACTGAAGGCAGTGCGCTGGAAGTGTGCGAAGTGTGGGTTTGAGACTGCCACCGAGACTGAATTCCTGGAACACATACCTCGGCACAAAACAGACAGTTCCACTTACCAGTGCCTGCTCTGTGGCTTGTGTTACACGTCTCACATCTCTCTGACTAGGCACCTCTTCATTGTTCATAAAGTAAAAGACCCAGAGGAGGAAGAGGAGGAGGAGGAAGAGGAGGAACAGGAAGAGACAGAACAGGAGGGTAGAAAAGAGGGTCTAGAAATGGAGGCAAGCGAGAATGGACTTGTAGAGCCTGATAGCGAGACGAACATTGTGGCAAAGGAAGGAGACATTTCAAAGAGCAAAGACTCTGAGGCCGACCCCGTGTCCTGCAGCACGGAGAAGGCCAACGCGCAGAACAAACACGCGAAGTCTCCCGATGCTTAAGAGGGCATCTTCCTCCCCGAGGTGTCACTCAGCGTGGGGCGGGCAGGGGGCGTGTTCCCAGACATGCTGTCGGCGTCACGGAACGGGCGCCGCATTCCTTTCGCTTTGCCTGGCAAGGGGAAGCCAAGCAAACGGCCACCGTACCTGCAGCACTGAGTCTGTAGCAGGTGCGAGGGGGGGAAGCGAATGTCGGACGAGCGTGTCCAGCCGCACCATGCCTGAGCCTTCAGGGTAAGGAGCACTTTCTTGCACCCCCTTCCCCTCCCCCCCATCCTTCCAGAACAGGAGTGCTCGCGTGCCACTGGAGACCCCCCGCAGCCAGCCCCCTCCCCTCCCCTCCCCATTACAAAATGAGTATTGCTTCTGTGTTACGTTCACTGTTCCTTGTCCAAGGCCACCAAGTATTCCACTTGGACTGCACACGCCTGGGTGATCGCTTCTCCCTCTTCAGACACGAATCCCCCCGGGCTCCCCCACCCTCATGCCACGCAACCCTCCCCTCTTCAGACACTCCGTGGAGTCATTCACATGATTTTCCAAGCTAGCGCTCTCTAGAGGAGACCCTTCCCATACCAGAAAAAGTCTGGGGGAGGGGGTTGCGTTTGAAACTGCGGCATACACATCAGTTCCACGCTCCCGTAGCACGTGCACATAATTCTGGTGCCAGCCCTCCACACAGCTCCCCTCAGCAAGCCCACTCCTGCCAGAAAGCGCTGGGCCTTGGTGCGGGCCAAGCGCTCGCTCACCTGCGTGTGTAACTGGCACGCACCTGCCCTGGGAGGGTGCCCTCCCTTCTCCACTGCAGACAGGCCGTCTTAAACATGGGCACGGGTGCCTGTCCTAAGGAAGAAGAGTCAGGTGGGGCGCGGACTCCTGCGTCCCACCGCGGGCCCAGGCAGGCCTTGTGCCCCAGCCAGCGGCTCAGGTCCTCCCGCTCGCGTGCTCAGCACATCGTTCTGCCTGTGTCGGGTCTCTCTCTCGCTCCCTCAGCTGCAGCAGAGCCGCCTGGAAGGCCCCTCGTCAAGAAATGCACCAGAGCAGCCGCAGCAGCATCCCGCTCTGGACGCAGCCCCCTCGGCCGGCTCCTCCTCGTCCTGCGCCAGCACAGAGCATTCCGGCATGTAAGAGTGGTCAGTGCAGGAGCGGTTCACTCCGAGGAAGTCGCCACGCTGCCCCTTCGAGGGCTCCTGCTGCCCAGATAGCACATGTCCCCCCCGCCCCTGCCCCCCTGTGACTCAGTTGGCTCAACGGACTCTGGGGACTTCCTTCCACCCCCCCATTGACTCGGTCCCCCCCCACACACACATGTGCACACACACCATCTGTGCTGTTTCTTTCTTGTGTGCTTTTTTCTCATGCTTCAAGTAATATTTACTTTTTATACGGTTTTTATGTTTTGAGTCAGAACCCTGCTCATTGTTTACTATAAATAATTTAAAAAGAAAAAAACTATTTATCTTATTGCATTTGAATTGCTCACTTTCTCGTCTGAACGTGTTTTGATAAAACCCTTTGTATTTTTTGATACTGTGTACATTTTAGTCTAGGGAATGTTTTACAAGGTAGCCTAGCTATAGTAACAATAGCAGAGGGTGGGGTGGAGGGTGTCCCTCCCAAGCCATCACATATCTATTTAATCTGCAGCGGCATTTGTGCCTTGCTATAATGTTTACTTCAAAGTATTTCAAATAAAACCATCTAACAGTGCGTGGCTGCTGGGCTCCGTTCTCGAATACCGTGCTTCTCCCGAATGTGAGATGGAAGTCTCCCTAAGGAAGCAGCTGTCCTTTTCTGGCCCAATTTGGCCCTGGTTTGGGACGTGGTTGGGTTCCCAGGCAACTCCTCTTGCTCTCGTAAGGATGTAATTCACAATTTGCACGTGGAGGAGACCCTTACTGAAGCCCAGTATGCCCTCAATTCCTTTATATTCTCGCCCCTTCATTGTGCATTTTTATTTCTGAGGCCCTTTCATCAGGAGCTTGGAAAAAACGTTCCCCTTGCTCTCCTTCCTTCCTTCTGCTCATTTCTAATTCTCTTGCAGCACAATCATACACGTCTTACTCAGAAGTAATTCTCACTGATTTCAACAGGACCTATAAGCATCCAAAGGACTCCCTAAGAAGCACCCATATGGTTCCTGGGGACACTTTTTTTGCTTCCCTTTGTTTTATTTAAAGATGCTTGCTGCAGCACAGCTCAAGAAGGAACTCCGATCTATCCAGTAGCAGAAGGAATCAGGATATGCCAGGCACTTGCTTCTTTTGCACAAGAGTTCCCCTTTTGCCCTGGTTTTCTTTTCCCCTTTCAGCTTTCTAACAGCTTGGTCTTGTGTGTTTCCAGAAGTCCCGCTCTTGAATAAAAGGATTTCCTCCTGCCTTAAGTAACCCACAGTCGGTAAATTTCCTTCCGCAGAGGCTTGCCCAGCTTATGTGTAAACAGACATGCCGAGGCTTGGCATTTTCGATGCTGCCCCCGAGTGCGGGTGGTGAGCCCTGCTCAATTCTGAGTAGGCCTGCACAGGCGGCTCCTTCTCTTGGGGGTAGGCGGGAGTCTCCAGGCTGCTTCGGAATAGGGGTCGCCTATTAAAAAGGCAGGTATTTGAACTGCCAAGCTGGGAGGCTCTTCTTGCGCCCGCTCCTTCTCGGAGAGTTCCGCTCTGCTCGCCCCTCTGCATTGCACTGTAGTTTGGGCTGCTAACCAACGGAAGATTTCTTAATGGATTGATCACATTCGTTTTGTTCGCTTCCCGACCAGCCCTGCAGGCTCGAGGCACCTTGCAGAGTGGCTTGATCTAGTCCCGACCGTGACATGCCCTGGGTGGCTTTGGGCCTCGCCAACCTCGCAGGGTTGTTGCGGCGTTAAAATGCCACCAAGGGTCACATGGGCGCCCGGCAAAAGACACACAGACAGACAAAGGGGACTTCCAGGCAAAGCGAGAATGCGATCGCGACACACGCTGCAGGGCGGCGCGGTGAGAGACGACGCCGCCGCCCTCCCGCCAACGCAGGCTCCGGAGGACTCGGGGCGGGGCAGCGCTCTATGGTCTCCGCGGAGGGGCCGGAAGCGGCGGAGAGGCCGGAAGCGGAAGCGCCGACCTCCTGGTCCTCCGGTGCCGGCCCTTTCGCGCCCCCTCCCCTTCCCCGGGATGTTTTCGCTGGATTTCTTGGACGATGTCCGGCGGATGAATAAGCGGCAGGTGCGCCGCACGGGCCGGGGCCGCGGGCCGAGCGCGGGGGGGAGCGCCGTGCAGCCGCGGGCGCAGCGGGGGCTCTTCGCCGCGCCCCCTCCGGGCCTCTGGCCTCCGGGGCCGCGAGGGGGGAGGAAAGCGGGGGCGCAGAGAAGGCTGGGGGTTTCGTCCACGGCGCTTGCAGGGCTGCGTGTGGGGCGGGCGGGCGGGCGCCCCGTGAGAGCTGGCCGGCGGGAGATTAAGGCCACGCGAGACGGACGCCGCGCGCGTTATGTAGAGGGCAGTCCTGTGCAATGAAACCCGGAGACGAAGCGAGTCGGGAGGGGCCTCCCGGGCCGCCTAGTCTGATCCCGGCTCCGCTCATGTAATCCCCAACGTGTGGTTGCCCGGTCTTTCCTGGAGAGAAACACAGAAAGAAAGATTGCGGAGACAGAAAAGAGTCCTATGTAGCCATGGCTGGCTGGGGCATGGTAGACACCGTAGGTCTTTTTCTTCTTCTTAAGTACGTGGGATTGTGTCCTTAAGGAACGGCTTTATTCTTTGTAAGGCTTAATATCCTACCTGTCTTTGTGCTGTGTCTCCCTACTGGGGTGAGAAAAATCATGAATGTGACGTGCAAGAGAGGCTGTGGTTCAGGAACAGAGCACCTGACCTGCATGTTGAAGACCGCTTGTTCAGTCCCTGGCCTTCCCAGGGGGAAGAATTCTGCCTGAAACACTGGAGAGCTGTGGGGGACATTTGTGTCTTGGGGAAAGCTCTGCATGTGTGTCTTGGACGAGAGGGCTGGTCGCGTTCGGGGTGATCTCTCCCTTCATCTCTGTCCTTCACTCCCTCCCAGCTGTATTACCAGGTGCTGAACTTTGGGATGATCGTTTCCTCAGCGCTGATGATCTGGAAGGGGCTGATGGTGGCAACAGGGAGTGAGAGTCCCATTGTGGTCGTGCTGAGGTAAAACTCTGCTGGGACTCTTTGCATACAACCAAGCGGCAGTGTGAGGTTTTCACGGGGGAGAAGCAGCTCAAATAGCCTGGAATGGCTCTTAAGGTCCAGAGCAACTGCTGGACGGGGCTTCTGCCCACCTGGCACGAAGCAGTTTTTAGCGCTGGCTTGATCAAAGGGCACATGAAGCCGAGGAGAAGCTTCTCTGGCACACGGGCCTTGACACACCTGACACTATGCTCCATGCACATCTCTTGCCAGAACCTGAGCTGGGGAAGCCAGAAGGCTTTCTGTCTCTCTGCTTGTTTCTTCCTCGCTCGAATCTCAAGTGTGCCCACTCACTGCAGGCGTAACGCAAATATGCAGCCCTGAAAGTTCATTCACCCGGCACCAGATCAGCCATTCTGAAATTTCAAAGGCTGAGGATTTCGCATCACTTCTAAAATGCCAGTAATGGGTTAACAAGCCAGCCGGAGTTGAGGAGGTTGTTGATGAAGAGAGTCTCAGAAACAGCTCTGCGTGTGACAAATTACAGTCCTGGAAGTACATGACAGTTAATTCTTTGGATACGTATGATGAGTCTAGTAATGCCGTCTGGTGCAGCGCAGACAGTACTTCTTTTCGTATCAGCTGCTTAGTCCTTGAAAACCTGCCTGGTTGGTACCATCTCCAGGCAAAGGTGCCTGCTCTGAGCGTTCTTGTTCACTGACCTCTTTGTCTTCCAGTGGCAGCATGGAGCCGGCATTTCACAGAGGAGACCTCCTGTTCTTAACCAATCGCATTGAAGAGCCAATCAGAGTGGGTGAAATCGTGGTCTTTAGGATAGAAGGAAGAGAAATTCCAATCGTGCATCGAGTTTTGAAAATTCATGAAAAGTATGTTTCAGATCTTGGACAGCAAAGCTTGCAAAAGTCTGTTAAGTTGGCTTATGCCGGGGTCTTTTTGCAGACACATCTGTGCTGCTGAGTTCTTGCCCTTGTTCCCAGAAAGGTATCTGTGTAGTAACCAAAGGACCTTTCTTTTTGATGGAGCCCATCTTTGGTGTGTATCGTTCCTCCCACAGCCCCTGAGTACCTCCTTGTCCTTTAAACCAGCAATCCACCGGATGCAGCAGGCGGTTCCGGTGGGCTGAGTGTAGGAGCCACGGTGAGCACGCCCTGTTCTGCGGAACCGCTCCTGGCCTCCTTCCCCACGGAAGTTTGCTTTTCGGGACAGGCGTGCTCGGTTGTCTTGCTGACCTTTGCCCTGTTCTGCAGCCCTGCAGTGCAACTGCATCCTTTTCTGCGGGGGGCGGGGGTGCGTACCTTCTGCCTTGGTCATCTTCTAGCAGCTGACCTGACTCTGCCTTTGCTCTCCTCTGGTAGGCAAAATGGCGACATCAAGTTTTTGACGAAGGGCGATAATAATGCTGTCGACGACAGAGGCTTGTACAAGCAAGGGCAGCACTGGCTGGAGAAGAAGGATGTTGTGGGAAGAGCGAGAGGGTAGGTGACGAAGGGCCAGCAGGGGGCGCTGTGTGGCAAGTGTCCTTGAACCCGTGGACCCATCAGTTGTTTCTTGTGGTGGACCGTGGAAAAATGTTGGGGGCTATAATGCTTCAGTCCCTTACCATTGGCCAGGTTGGCTGGGACTGATGGGGACTGTGGTCTAAATATGAGCAGGGCCCCAGCTTGGCTGCTGCTGCAGAAGGCATACCTTACACTGAGCCAGACCTTGGGTCCATCCGCTCAGCGGGCCTGAAGGAGGACTCCTGGCACGGTCCGCTGGCCTGGGATCATTCTCACTTCTCCCCCGCAGCAGAATAAGACCTGCTTTGATTTTGGACAAAGGTGGCCAACGGAAGTGTCTTACTTTAGACTGTAGGCAAGGAAATGTCCCTTTTTAAACTGTTCCCCTTGATAGAGTGCACCCTGCAAGGAGAAAACCAGCATGGCAGGGAGAAGGGCTGGACTGGAAGCTTTCTGCCTGATGTGCTGAGCTTTGATTTGTAAGGACTGTTCTTAAGTGGGGAGGGCAGACTGCAAGAATTTTAATCCCAGTTGCCGCTTGGAATGGTACCTTCTTGGGGTTCTGCCACCTTGTTCTCTTGGCTGCCTAATTCAGGGTGAGGTCTCGCTCTGTCAGGCAGATGGGGCCTGTTTCGCAGAGCCCGCAGCCAGCCCAGGGCTGGTGTCTCAAACAGATGACTTTGTTTTCCATTTTAGATTTGTGCCATACATTGGAATAGTGACCATCCTAATGAACGATTACCCCAAATTCAAGGTATGACCAGTTCACCCGATCGCTTGGAGCCAGAGCCTTGACTTGGGGTGGCTTTTGCATGGAGGGTGGGGGTGGGGGGGCTGGTGTGCTCCTCTCTGCTGTTCTTTACCGCAGTGCCCAACCTGGGCAGCTGATGCTCTTTTAAGGTGCTGCACCATTCAAATCGGTTTGGTTAGAGGACATACAGCAACTTTCCCCAAAGACTGGGTGAGCCGGGAACAGCCAGCTCTCTCAGGTCCCCATCATATAACCCGCTGCCTTCAGTCCAAACCTAAAGGTGCTGCAATGCGGGGCATCGCTACTGAACGTTCCTGAGGCGGAGGGAGGCGCCAGGGGCTGTGGCATTCATGCCTTTGGTGTTAAAATCGGGCGGATTTCCGCAGCCAGGTGCCCCTTTTCCTGTTGCCCTAGCTCTGCCAAAGAATCAGCTGGCTTATGCCAGCGCATCGTCAGTGCTCACAGGCACACGCCTGGATCCTTGCTTTGATTTTGGGCTTCTGCGGAAACGCCAGGTTTGTCTTGGAAGCCACTCCCCACGATGCAAGGCACAGTTGTGCATTTCTGTGCCTTCTCTAAGTGGGCCCGACGGCTGGAATACTCACGTGTGTGTTTTCCCCTCCCGACAGTACACAGTCCTCTTTCTGCTGGGCTTGTTCGTGCTCGTCCATCGAGAGTAGGCCTGCCGCCAGGAAGGCCGGCTGGAGATGCCGGTGGCCCAGAGCAGACAGTGGGGTGTTATCTGTGTACATTTCACTGCTTCTTAACCGAGTTGGGTTTGGCTTTTGGTTTTATTTTCTACTACTGCTGTGTACCAGGAAAGTGGATCCCAGTATTTTGAACGGTTTGTCACATTTTCGCATTTTTGTACGTCGGTGAATTTTTATATTAAAAGTTTTGAGCCAAAGCCCTCTTGCCTGTCTTAAATCTGGGAGTTCTCCTTTTCCCCTTCTGTGATTACATTTAGCTCCACGTCCCTCTTCTCCAACCTAGCACCTTCCAGATGTGGTGGGACCACAACTCTCAGCATCCCCAGCCAGGGTACAGTGCCCCAGCCTGGGCTGGCTGAGAATGATGGGGGAGCGGGGGAGCTCTGCTCGACCAAAGTGAACCCGCTTGGCAAAGTGCTCTGCTTCTCAGCTTAAGGGCCTCCGAAGTGGCAGGAAGTCTGAGGCAGAGGTATGTATCCAAATACAGATAGAAGCATCGTTACTATAGAAATCCTGACTTCCAATTCCAGTTGTAAAGCTTTATGCTCGCCACTGCTTCTGAGGCTTCCCTTGGAAACAGCAGGGAACAGTGTCAAGTCTTGCATTTGGCTTTTACTATTACTGCCTGGTTTATTTCACAGAGCGTAAGCTCCTTTCCTGAACTGAAGGCCTGCAGTGTCTAAGGAAAATCAGATCAGAGAACTCTGCATGGCCAACCAAGAACAGGTATCCTGGTCTCTCTGAAAGTGAGGCAAAAGACAACAGAAACTATATGCGACCCCTTCTGGAAGGAATCTTCTCTGCTGGAAGCAACAGAATGAAGTCAGCAAATCCAAAGGTGGTAGCACACACCACTTCAGATGAGGGGTGGCATTTTTAACACTTTCTCCTAGTGTAAAAACCCCTGCAGATAAAAAACAAGCACACAAAGGAATTGTGGGAATTCTAGCTCAGCTCTTGTACTTCTCTGTGCGATTCCTGTTCACAGGGAAATGCTTCCGTTCTTAAAAATGTCTGTCCAGCTCATCTGAGGTGGAACGATCCATTCTGTACCGATTCGTCGTCCCCCGAATCTGGGCACTCAAGTGCAGCTTCTCAGATAAGGCCCTCTATTCTGGGTGGAGATGAAAACGGACTAAGCAATGCTTTGTGGTCCCTGTGTGAGAAGGGAATGATGTGGCTCCATGGCAGAGCACGTGGTTGGCATGAAGGAAGTTCCTAGACGCCTCCGGTGAAAAAGGGTCAGGTTGCCGGGGTGAGGGCACATTGTTCTGCCTGAGAACAATAGGCGACAAAGACTGGATTGGGGTGAGCAAGCTATTGGCCCCGAGGGGCGCGTGCTCCCTGCTCGCCCACGTCTGTCACTGCTGTGGCTTTATGGACGGGGTGACTCACTTTGGCTGCTCTCCATGGAGAGCAGAGAATGCGCGCTCATTATTCGCCTGATCGCTGCCCCAGGTGCGTCACACTTTCTGAGCAGGTCACCAGGTTGTGCGTTCGCTTTAGCACAATCGCCTCCCCACAGCAGCAACCGCAGGGGTCTCTTGGAAGTCGCCAGCACGGCTGCTTCTCGCGTGCCCATCGCAAGCTGCCAGGCGAATGCTCCCGCCCCTTGCCGAGCGGCCCGCAGCAGGAGGACCTTCTGGAGAACTTCGAAGCCGAAAGCCAGTGTGACGGCGTCGCTGTAGCAGTCCCCCGCGATCTGGTGCCCCCACCACGGCCTGGCTAGCTGAGGATGATAGGAGTAGTAGTATCGCAGTGAGAATGGGCAGGGCTGATCCCTACTCAGCCAGGAAGCTCAGCCAGAGGATCTCGGTCTCACAGGGCCCTGCGGTTGCCGTGGCTGTGAGCAGCGGGGGCACGTGAGCGGCCCTCTGACACGATTGCCTTGTCTTTCCAGTTCTGTCCCCATCAGTAGCTCTGGTGGGTGCTTTCTGCAGAGCTTCTGCTGTGCTCCAACCTCACTCTGACGAGGCTGCTGCGGATGAGGGGTAGGAGTGAGTAGAGGCACCAGGTAGGGGCACTGGACGATCTGGAGTGGTTCTGCTGGCCAGTAAGCTCAGTGCTATCGATGCCGATCGGTCCGGGTTTCAGGCCTGCCGAGAGATGCTGGAGGTTGAACCCAGAGCCATGTGCCTAAAAAGGAGCTCGGCCACTGGGCTGTGGCCTCTGCCTAAAGCGCCCACAGATGCCAACGACGTGGGCCGCTGTCAGGTTAGGACTTCCGAGGAGACCCCCCCTCAGCCGTGCCTCTTGGCTCAAGGACTCCTGTGGCTCTGGAACAGGTCGCGGTGTGACCGATTCCCGATAGCTCACCCGACGTGTGTCACCAGCGTGGCAACCTCTTAAGCACCAAGCTCTCCTCTCCTTCCACAGCCCAGCCCAGTCTGCAATCCTTTTGGGCTGCTGCAAAAGTTCTGCTTGCAAGTTCTGTCCAGGTGGGAAGCACGTGGTCACACAAGCATAGCAGTAATTTTAAAATATCCCTTCAGGCTGAGCATCGGGCAGATCTGGAACGCTTTTCCCCATCCCTTCCACTTTTCATCAAGGCTGCTTGAAGCACCTTTCTGAGAGGTGTAGCGTCTCCAGCATTAGCTATGGCTGTCAAGAAGCACCTGAACCCCTTTCTACAGGGGCCCTCAACCTTTTGAGGGCAATGGGCACGTCTGGAATTTTTAGACCGTGCCATAAACACTCACAGAACAGGTACTCATTCATAACATGCCCTCCTGGATAGAGGATCTCCAGTTACAAACTCATTTTCCCGAAGGCAAACTGGGAGATGAGAAGGACCTAAGTGGAAGGCAGAAGGGGAATCAGCGCGAAAACAGAGCCATTCATTTGAACCCAAGGAGACTGGAAAAGCACAACAGCACGGAAGCCCCCCGGGCAGCGGCTGGGGGACGGCGTGGCCCCTTGCCCATCCTGGGGAACTGGGTTTGGCCCCCTGGCCTGACGTCTTGTGCCCGTGAGCCAAGGGCAAGGAAGAGACGCCTCCCTGCATCACCTCGGCCTCCTGTGTCACGTTTCATGCTCTTTCTAGATCTGGCCCCCGCTGAGGCCTTCTCTCTTGCCTTTTCCCAATCCCCTTATGAAAAGGTTGCTAATTAACACCTTCCATACACATTATGCAAATGCCGTTGTTCTATGCGCAAGCAGCAGCTAATTGCTGTGAAGAAAGGTGTTACCCACCTATAAGGCATAAGAATAATTATGCTTTGCTTTTAAGCTCAAAGTTTCTGCTTGCACCCCTCCCACCCCCAACCCCACGATTTAATTTGTAGTGAGAAGCCCAGAGGAGACAATCCAGGAAATGAGGCAGCCTTTGGAAAGGAGCGGAAATGTTCTCTGTCCCTCTGCCAGATTCCTGAAGGAGCTCCAGCTTCTCCCGGACCATTCCTTGGTCTCCTTGTGCTACCAGCATCTCTCACTGCTAGGCATGACTGCTCAAACAGGGCTGCGTAGCATCTTGCAGGCATGGCATCGTCGGAGGCGGGGGCTCTGCTCCTCCTCCCTCTGCAGCCCCCCCTCTTACTAGCCACAGCCTTCTGTGTGCTGGCACAAGGGGAGCGAGTCAGCCACGTGCGAAGCAAACAGCCCCTCATTAGATGCAAGCCGCTGTGTGCAGCCTGCGCAGAAAAGGAACAGATTGTGGAACTTGCAGGATGCTGAAATATGACAGGTGCCATTTTTGAGCAACGGCTGGTGTTTAACTGGGGGGAGAGGAGAGACAAGGTTCTTAAGAGGTCTCTTTATGGTCCCACCGCAAATGGTCCAGCAGCCGCCTGTGATGCGCACATAGCCACATTCCGCCTGCGCAATGGCACAGCAATGGATGCATTATTTGCAAGAAGTAGCATGCTTTTCCGGCGCAAAAAATACTGTGTCCGTAACACAGAGGATGGCCCGGTTCACACCTCACGGCCAAGACCTTGCTTGTACGACCCAGGAATTGACACAGCCACATGTAGGGACTTTGCCCACTGCTGCTACTTTAAACCAGCCTTCTGGAATAGCCTCGGAAGGCGCCCTTCCTGGGTTGTTAGCAGGATGCCTGAACATCAAGTTCTGGATTGTTCATGTGTTGAATCCAGCTTTATTCCAATAGGAAACCATGAAAATTGTTGTTTAACTCCTAAACAGCTCAGAGTTCAAGCTTCAGGTAATAACCCAGGGACAGGGCCTTCCTGGGTTGTTTCAGCCAGCAGAAGAGGTGAACAAGGAGGAAACGGAGCTCTCTCTCCTGTGTGGTCATCCCGATTCATAGGTTGTTTAACCCAGGGACTGGCTGTTATGTGTGAACCAGGTCAATGTGATATCTCTGCACCTGTATGCTTGGCTTTACCTTCTGTTTTTATACGGGATGGCAGAGAACGCTATGTGATCAATTTAGCATATTGGCTCCAGAGCTCAGGTCATTATGTATTGTTTTCTTAAGAACCATCCAAGGTTTGCTATGAACATAAATTAGGCAAATCAGGCATAATTCGCCTTCAAAATGCAAGCTTTAGGTGTAATTGGCTGGTCTGCAGGCATTATCCTTTAAGGGCTGAGAAGTGGCTTTCAGAGAGTTGTGAGTATTTCCCCTTCTTCCTTCTCCCCTTGTCCCCGTATTGAAGATGCTTAACGGAGAATGCAGGAGAAGATTAATTATTCTGTTATGGTGTGAAGAGTGAAAGACTGAGCTGGCTCGTGTGTCACAGCAACGAATCTTAATTTGCCACGATTGGCCATTGTGCATGCTGGTTGCATTCAAATATTCCGCCTCTGGTGGGGCTGATTTGGGGTTGCTATTTGACCTTCAAACTTGGACGTTCTAGGTTAATCATGGGTTGAGTAAGGCACAGCTCACCCTCAATTAGTAGTTAGGTTAACTGTGGGTTGTATAATCTACCGTTAACCTATAGTATCAGTGTTCGGATGTCATGTAGCAACTGCTGCTTAGCTCCTGAGTGCTCCTGCGACATGCAGCAGGAAAGCTAGGGACCATTTGAAGGAAACGCGTCAAAGGTCCACCGATAGACTGGGCCTCTGCAAGGCTGCAGGGAGGCATCTCTGCCAGCCCCCCCCCCCCGAAAGGGGGAGCCTTCCCACGCAAAGCAGGCCTTGTGCCACCAGGCCGTGGCCCCCTCCCAGTCAAGCAAACTGCATGGGAGCAAATCCGCGCCACGCTCGCCACTTCAAAGGATGTACCAATTTCTCGCATCTTTTCAAGCAACGGGCTCTTGTTTTCCTCCCAGGTAATCCCGCTAAGGCATCCTGCATCGCATCAGACGTGCCTCAGTGCCTCCAGTAATTGCCCCGGGGAATATGAAGCGGTTGGTTCCTCCGCCAGCCTGGCCTGTAATTGGCACCCGCTTAGCTTTGGCCCGCACATCTCCGCTGTAATCCCTTCAGGAGTGCTGGCTCCTTCGCGCCCTGGCCAAACAACACCCCCCCCTCCAAACCCCGAGCTTGAGGTGCTCAGTATTGGCCTGTACCCAATCCAAAACTTTGGAGCTTAATCCCCAAATTTTGGCAGTTCTCGGGTTGCAGATTTTTTAGTCTTTATTTTTTTTTAGCAGCTTTTCAACCAGCTCTGGGTGTGCTCCTTCAGGCCATGCCACTGCTCAAGGAGCAAAGCTCAGGGAACCAGGGTTCAATTTGGGTGCCAGGAAGCACTTCCTGACAGTCAGGACCCCGAGGGTGTGGAATGGGCTTCCAGGGGAGGTGGCTGAGGCCCCATTGGTGCAGGTGTTCAAGGACAGGCTGGATGTCTACATGGTGGGAATGTCGTGAGCGGAGCCGGCTGGTGCTGGAGGTCAGACTAGATGGCCCGGGAGACCCCTTCTGACTCGCTCTGTCTCTATGTTTCTAACACAGGGAATGTGAAACCTCAAAGCAGCTGAGCTGCCTGAAATTGTTCTTAAGTAATTCATGTTTCTAGACCTCCACTTGTGCACCCTTTCAGGTAA